CAAAATTTCTCTCGAAGATGAGAGTTCTCGAAAAGTATATTTGAAATTGATATTCAAATCGTAATTTTGTATAATTAAGTTGTACTCTTCCCATTCAGACGAAATTTTAATTAACCCTGCGCTTTATTCTATCTTTCTTCCGAAATATAAAGATAGAATGAAGCTTACAACGCGCGTGTCCAAAGCGAACGCAGGATATACGACAGATAAGCAAAATTTTTCAATGTACATATATCTTTTATCTTACTATACAGAAATACGGCGACAAAATCCATTGACTGTTTGTAGAGCTGTAATTGATTTTTTTTTCCAGTATTTAATTAGGCTAAATAAATATTCAATAAAATAATCATTGAAAACATTTTTTGAGGGTAATGCATTTAACTAGTAGTATCAAGAATCACGTTCAAGACCAAAATTGCGACCTTTTGTTATAACATTAAAACTCTTTCATTAGGGAAAAAAGAAAAAAAAATTGATTTTTTCATTGACTGGAGAGAGCTTGATTAAATAAATGATAACACAGGCACGTAAAACAAAAATTTAATGTTTGAACTGGAAATCAGATTTTTATATATTTTAACGCTGTAAAACCGAATCTGATGTTCAATTTGCTCCATCACGTTACAATAATAATACTGGAAAATCGAGCTGTTTTCCGTCGAAAAAAAAAGTAATGTGATGAAGTAATTTGAACATTGAATTCGATTTTGGGGCGTCAAAATACATAAAAATATCAATGTCTACTCTTTAAATAAAAAAAATGTTTTGTACCTGTGTAATTATTGCTGCTTGAATTTATAGGAGCCCGGTGCTTTTACATCGTCGTTACGCAGGTAAAAGACGAATTTTAAGAGTGGTGAAACGCGAATTTAAAAAAAACCGTGCATTTAAATGACTTCTGTACGCGATGCACTTTCGATATTACAAACAAACCGCGATCATCCACCTCTCGTGTTGCAGTTGCTCGTGTTCGGAATAATGGCTGTGGCTTTGGCATCGCCAGTGCCGGGAGGTCATCATCAGTAAGTAACGCTTCGACAGTTTTTTTTTTTTTTTTACTTATATTTTAATCTAGAAGTTTCACTCTGTAGAACATCACACTCTCTTAAAATTACTAATAATTCTTATTATTTCTAATGTAATATAGATTGTTATTATATTGTATAATTATTAATAATTTTGATTACTCATTGCATGATAATAAACAATTAAAATAATAAATAAATAAGAAGAATAATTAAATATGGTATTCTTTTTCTTATTTCATTTATTCTTTTATCGGTCAAAAAATTTTACTTATAAATCATTTACTTGTAAATATGATATTACATGAAAAACGATTGGATGATTTCAGTGAACATCATATAATCCACGTGCCTTACAAAGTACATACGATCCATCATCATCACACGAAAAAGATCCATGTGCCCGTACATCATGTCGAGAAAGTCCCCGTTCACATTCCGTATCCAGTGCATCACGTCGAAAAAGTACCAGTCCCAGTACCTGTTCACCATGTCGAAAAAGTAGCCGTACCTGTTCCAGTTATACATAAAGTTCCCGTCGCTGTACCAATACATGAGGAGAAACATCATGATTGGTTTTAAACGGGCGGCTTTGTCTTCAATTCCAATTACGCTATAGGTTTGTATTGTCTACTTGTAATTTGAACAAAAGTCTGATTAATACACGAAAATTATATCAAATTAAAAAAGACACATTTTTAATACATATTAAAACTTTTACAGTAATTTTAATTTGTTAAATATATTTCAATAATTTTCAAGGAAGAAGGAAACAATTTTATATAAGTACACTTCACGTAGAATACACTCTTTTTTCATTGACTATAACTGTAGTGTACAAGGTGAAGTCTGAGACAATCTATATATTGTGAAAATATATATATCTATAAGTTGCCAATACTATTTGATATTTTATTTTTATTGTAAAAATATAATTACTCTAACTTATTAATTGATTTATATGTATACTTAATGATTTGTAAACTGGGTTTCCAGGTTACCGTACAAGGTGGAATCCGAGTAAGTAAAAGTTAACAAAATTCATTCCTCATTGCGGATCCATTGATAAGAAGTTTTCTCGTAGAAAGAAACAAAGAGGACGAAAACTGATCAGTACAAAATTACTCACGCCACCAGTACAGCATTAAGAATTTAGCGTAAGAACCAAATACTCGTGTGCACGCGTGTGTACTCAAGCGAAATACTTGTATATACTTTACTTCACGTTACACTTTTTTATTATTTTTATATAATAAACTCTTTTGATATAAAAAGAAATATTTGGTAGGTACATTTATTCACATTTCCTTTATTTCTATTAAATAATTACAATTCTAAAAACTAATAATTCGTAGAAACCACAAGGAGAGAAATTATCTATTTGGCTATCTAGCCAAGTCTATTGAAATTTGTTAAATATGTACTATTTGTTACAAATTTTGATAACAAAAAGAGTTAATTAATACAAATTTTGTTATACTCAAAACTATCAGCAAATTGATGGCAGATAAGGAATAAAATCGATGGAATAAAGAAGCAATTAATCATTAGTTTATAAATATGGTTTATTTTACACAATTAACAGTGTAGAACAATAACAAGTCCTTCAGATATCATCAGACGATCATGATTAAACAATTCTGTCATAACAAAGTTCCTTAACCATAAGAATATCGCGAAGATAATTTACCAGTCAACCTCTTCGTGTTTATGGTCATCGTGTGATTTGACGTGAACCGGTATATAAATTTTCTTCACGTGTGTGTGACGATGTTCGTGAATATGATACGGCACATGGATTTTGAAGTGCGTGCTAAAATCAATTTCAAGTTTCTCTGAATAATCTTAATGTGTCATATAAAACTGTATATCATTTAAAAGGAATAATTCAAAAAGCAATAATTCAATGTGGAAGCAATAATTCAAAAATTAGAAAATTACTGTTCGCTGTGATGACCGCCAGGATACGGCATCGCCAATACTAAAGCCATTGTGACAACCAGCAAAAGTAGAGCCTAAAGCAGAAAGATGTTACATAAGAAATACAATCAAAATTTTATTTTGAAATATTTAAAAACATTGTTTTTTACACGTCGCACATCAACATCCATACGTCTATGATTTAATCCATGATCGAATTAGAGAAAAATATAGATCTTATCTTTTATTGAAGAAAATTAATCATATACATTGTGGTTTTATCAGAAAATCAAAGAATAAAATGGAAGTAATAGTAATCAAAGGGATTTGTCGTAAAATTGTAATTATTAGGTAAAATTATTTTGATAATGAGAAGAGATATCATCGAGAATGTTTGAGATAATTTTTATACAGACGCACATATACAAATGTAAATTTATATATTACATCAATCTTTTTTCGTTTTTTTTTTGTCACATTATCTCTCTTTTACAAATACTTATATAAAGATTTAATATTTAAGTTAATTAGGAAATAATAGTTGATTATTTATAATATATTTTTTATATTTTTTATTATATTTTTTTAATTGTCGATTTTTTCTTTCTTTCCTTTCTATCTTAATTAATTTAAAATAAATATTATTAAAAAAAAGTTAACTTTAAAATAATAAGCTTATTGTTAAAAATCAACGCAGTGATAAAAATAAATTATAACTTATAATTTATTACTCATAATTTATTAACCTATTATAAAATAATATTTCAGCGTAAAATAAAAATAAATAAATAAAGTAAATAAATAAACTTAAAATAAAACCTACTGTGTGTTTTGCGTATAAGATTATTAATTATAAAGAAGTGCACATATTATTCTTATTTAACAATTTTTATTAGAAAAACGTGTATCTCTCAGAGAAAATGTATTTCCTGTTTTATCATTCATTATACTAAAATAAAATAAATTTAAAATGAAATGAATATGCATACAACAAAATTCTCAATTTGTAAGATTTTGTAAAACTAATAAAATATTTCCGTATTACACATAAAACTTGTTACAAATTATAGATCGTCTAAAATAGATTTGATCTGTTTTTTTTTTTTTTAGCAAAGTAGCTATTGTCGATTAGCATTATTTGCATATTACTAAAAGGAGAACTAAAAATAAAATCGTCACTTTATTAAGCATTCATATACGAGCGCATTTATCTGCGAGTTATCTCGTCTCGCTCAATTAAACGAATCGATATCACACAACATAACGAATTCACACTCAAATCCGACACCCACGTGTATTTCGAATTTGAACATGTTCACTCTATTTATGCGCTAAATGTGCGCTTAACTCTTCTGAGATCGGAGTTTAGTGATAACTAAGAGTCTCTTTCGCAGCCAGCCTTATAAATAGAAACATAGTCAGTGAACCGTGTATGAAAACTGAATAATAACGGTGGACTTGTTTTCTTGAAAACAGTTCCTGTATGAACCACTTTATTTCACTTGAATCACTCTCACCTAAGTGGTTTACGCAAATTTTCACGTGTAGTTTCGCATACACATTGTCGTAAACATAATTTTCGCAAGTTCTCTGTCGCAAATTTCACGCTTTGATTTGTGGATAGACTACATGCCTTTCCGTAGAGCGTGGTCACCTTTGCGAGTTATCTAGTTTGAAAGTATCGAAATGCACTTAAAAAAAAAAACATATCCGGAAACTCGCCGATATGATTTCTCTTTCGAAAGAAAATTGATGCATTATTCTCCAAATATAATGAAAGTAAATGAGTTGCTTCTTCATCGAATATCATAGTAACATTATCAGGAAGTAGGCAAAATTAAAATAAAGATAAAAAGAATAACATACTCGTAAAGAGAAAATTGTTCTGATGAAATAACTTCCTTTCTTTACCTTCAAGTGAAATCGATTTACCGCAATTCAAGTTGCACAAATTGCATGACTCCTCGAAAAAGCGACTGCGAAGAATTCTGATTTTCTTCTTCTTCTTCTACCCACTTTATTTCTTATTCAATTTCTTATTCTTATTCGAAATTATATCGCTTATTACATTTATTACGTAAGAACGGTCATCATGATTGAATAATAATCTCTAGGCCATACTTACGTATTATGTGTATACAATTTCAATTAAGTATCAATTAATTACAGATATTACATTATGAACTTTTATGCAATTTACGTAATCCATTATGATTTTATACTCTCAATTTTTACGATTAAACATGTCTGTAATATTTCTAAGTACATAACTTCTTAAAAGACAATTTTCTTCTTTATTTAAATTATTTTTAAATATTACCTATGTATAAGGGAATCCGAGAATGTTGTTTCTTTTTACTTTCAATAATTTAAAAATATAACGATAACAAATGTAATAAATTTTATCATTTTCTCTTTACGAGTTTTTCCTCGTAAGTTTTATTTTATAATCACCTTTTATATATATATTATATATATATACTATAATAAAAATATGATCACAAATTGAAAAATTCTCTTTATTATGGAATACACACACACGCGCGCGCGCGCGCGCGCGCGTGTGTGTGTGTGTGTGTGTGTGTATTCTATAATAAAGAGATTTTTTCAATATAATCATATATCTTTATTCTTTGTGGATTAATGAGAATGCAGGTTGTTATACTCGTTTTAGTGTTCTATGGCACATGTGTAAACAGCTATATTTTACATACATACAAGTGAAATCGCACCTCGTTTATTATATGATTAGTTCTTTCACTTTCTGCTTGCTTTCGATTTTAAACTAATCCAGCGTTAACGCACTTTACGATACAATAAATGTGATTTTATTTTAATGCCAGTTAACAGATGTCGACGATTAAAGTACTACGTAAAATTGGTATACTCATTAAGAAGTGAAAATCATGTTTGATATATATATCCCTGAATAGGAGTATTCCTCTTTTCTTACAGAAATTGTACAATATGATATAAAGGCAGATATATTTAATGAATAATGTATGATATAGGGATAGAGATATAAATAGAAAAAAATCAAATAATGGATTTCATAAAATTTTGTTTTTTTCTTTTTCAGAAATAAGTATATTTAATTAATAACTAGCACAAATATTTAAATTAAACTTGGCACGAGTATTATTTATTTTTTATTTAGATATAAACACGCAGTATGTAATTTAAAAAATATATGTTAGTTATTATTATTTATTATAATAATAACTATAACGTATATAACACTTTAATCATAATTTCTATCATCCTTTGAACTCTTGAAATTATAGAAAAATCCGAAATTTTTTCCTGCATTGTCTACAAGCTACAATCTGCATCATCATCTAAACTAATTTCCGCTTATTCTGAACTTCAATATTGTCCAAAAAAGTTTCAAACTCTTTGTTAGATGTTGATGGTTAATGGAAAATAAAATTTAAATGTGCACATGTCAATATATTCTTTTTTATTGTTAAATTTTTGCCAGTTTGTGTAAATACACATTCACAGGAGTATACAAAATGTCATGCAATTGATGTTGTCTGATATTTTTGTACTGCATTACATTGGGATATTAAGCGGAAATAAGAGGTTACAATTTATGTTTGTGTACTAACAATCATAGACCATCTTTGTAATACTTCCTGCAAGACTTTCCATGTCATTTATCGTGATAAATGACCATAATAGTATTATTATAATGTATGGACAAGCATTAATGTAAATATCAGAAATTAATGGATAATAAGACAAAAAATGCAAGTGAAAGCAAAATCTTACATTTTGCAATATAAAATTAAAAAAAATTTATATATTTTTTAAAAATAAACTGTTCAAAAATAAGTATAAATTCAATAGATATATAATTGGCTAAGTATATCATTATATAAAAAAAGACCAAAAATCTTCCTTCAAAAATCTTATAAAACCTTATTCAAAAATTATTTATGAAAAGTGAATATGTTATTAATGCAATGACTCAACACCATGCAATGAACGGATATTGTGTTTGTTCAAAATCCTATCGATCCAGTCTATTGTTCCTTTTACATATGGGAAGGTAGAAAGGCTTCTTTTGTTTAATTCATCTTGTGGTTGTTATATATATGAATTTCTTGTCCTAATCTTGTGTTGATTGTTCTATTTATGTCCTCCTTACTATATTCGTTGCGAGGTTTGTTTCAAGTGATTGAGTTCTGTCTGCAGATTTAGTATCTCTCTATCAGAGGATACATAATGCTCTATGCACAAGAGTGAATTGCCGTCTATTTTTGTGCTGGATGATGTGCTGGATTTCGCATGTAGATATCTATCAGTGTGTGTTGGCTTCCTGTATATTTGATGGTGTTGTCAGTTTCTTCTGTGATAAGAACATCCATTCTTAATTGAGTATATATAATTCTAACATAAAGAAAGAATAATGTCATATATTAAAAACATACAAAAACTTTATTGGAACAACATCATAATACAATGCTCTATTTACAAAATATATTATATGTACAAACATTATATATATATATATATAAAATTATTTTGATCGCAAAAATTGTGTATATTTTCTAAAGTGCTTGGTGAGCAAGGCACGTAAAGATCTAAACTGAGGTGCGTGCCGGATTTAAAAATGAGGTATAAAAATATGAAAATAATAAAAAATGTGTAACATAATCGTAATCACGAATTATTACGATTTTTATAATTAAATGCGCTTAATAGCTTTTATCACAAACCAGTTTAAATGTCTTTAATGCTTACTTGAATTTATAATTGTAAATATTCCCATTTGCTACTATATCTACTTCTAATATGTCTTCAGCAATATATATTTTTAAAAACTTGTGATTTGTCGTATATACATAAGTATATACATAAGTATGTACATAAGTTCGAGTATTCAAATATTTTCAAAAAATATTCAGTTTTATGATAAATTTTTCTCGCGGTGTATCATAAATCTGTCCTAAAATTAGTCGAGTCAAGTCAGCGTGTATTTGTTTCAATATTTTACCGTATTAATTTTATTCTATAACAATTGAAAAGATTATCTAGTCTAGTTCTTACGGCGTCACAAATATAGTATTATAGTTAAGTCGGATCTATTTGATATAATGGTCTACATTAGTCTACAAAGAGTAAAATAATTTATTTTCAAAAAACGTCAGATTAATTTCTTACTAACTAATTGTTTAAAGAAACTATTTTTGATGAATCTATATATCCGTCTTTCCTATGACTTCATAGAAATATAAATTCTAGTTACGTACATGTCAGTTTGTCGTCATTTCGTTATATCAAATAATAATCAGATATAAAGTCAGTCTCGTACAACGTATTTCTGTTGTTATCAAAAATTATTAATAAAAATATTTAAAAACCGGCAAAATTGTACAGCCTTATAAGTTCGTACAAAAAAGTAAAAAATATTAAATTCTTCTTTGTATATCATCGTATATATCACACAATTAAAGTGGCAGAGAGTATTACGATTCCTTTGTATATTATGGTATATCACACAATTAAAGTGGCAGCGTAATGATTTCTACTGAAGATCTAAACTCGCTTTTGTGTCAATCAATCAAATATCAGTTGAAAATACAATATATCAGTATGCAGATATTTACAGCTGTAAATATGTATCTGCAATGCCCAACATATTGGTCACAGTAGAATAATTTCTTATTTCTTTTTGTGATAACCGGAGAAACCACCACTGTGACCTCCACCGTAACCACCGCCACCGCCACCGCCACCGCCACCGCCGTGACCGCTTGAATAGGAATCGAAACCGCCACCAGAACTGTAACTGCTTCCGCCGTGGCCACTGAAAAAATATCGATATGAAATATTATACGTGTACAAGATCATTTATGTACAATAATTGAGATTTACCATTTATTTTATTAATATTTATTTCGACCAATTAAGTAAATTAAGAAAATTTCGCAAAATTCAACATTTACCTGCTACCAAAATCAGATGATATACTATTGCCATAACTGCTGGAGCCATGATCATCTCCACCGATATCATGTCCGCCTCCAAAATCGCCATGTCCACCAAATCCACCTCCTCCGTGACCACCACCAAAGCCACCGCCGCCGCCATATCCACCTCCTCCTCCAAATCCACCGCCGTGGCCGCCTCCAAATCCACCGCCGTGGCCGCCTCCAAATCCACCGCCGTGGCCGCCTCCAAAACCACCACCGTGTCCTCCTCCGTATCCACCACCTCCTCCAAAGCCACCGCCGCCACCTCCATGCCCTCCAAAACCACCGCCACCACCACCATGTTCATCGTGTTCTATGATAAGCCCGCCGCCTCCGCCACCTCCTCCGCCGTAACCGCCACCTCCGTGACCACCTCCAAAACCGCCGCCGCCACCGCCGCCGCCGCCGTGTCCTCCATGTTCTATGATAATCCCGCCGCCTCCGCCACCTCCGCCGCCGTAACCGCCACCTCCGTGACCACCTCCAAAACCGCCGCCGCCGCCGCCATGTCCTCCATGATCTATGATAATACCGCCGCCTCCACCACCTCCGCCGCCGTAACCGCCACCTCCGTGACCACCTCCAAAACCGCCGCCGCCGCCGCCATGTCCTCCATGATCTATGATAATACCGCCGCCTCCACCACCTCCGCCGCCGTAACCGCCACCTCCGTGACCACCTCCAAAACCGCCGCCGCCGCCGCCATGTCCTCCATGATCTATGATAATACCGCCGCCTCCACCACCTCCGCCGCCGTAACCGCCACCTCCGTGACCACCTCCAAAACCGCCGCCGCCGCCGCCATGTCCTCCATGATCTATGATAATACCGCCGCCTCCACCACCTCCGCCGCCGTAACCGCCACCTCCGTGACCACCTCCAAAACCGCCGCCGCCGCCTCCATGTCCTCCATGGTCTATGATAATACCGCCGCCTCCACCACCTCCGCCGCCGTAACCGCCACCTCCGTGACCACCTCCAAAACCGCCGCCGCCGTCACCATGTCCTCCATGATCTATGATGATACCACCTCCTCCGCCGCCGCCGCCCCCCCCCCCGCCATAACCACCTCCTCCGTGGCCACCTCCAAAACCACCGCCGCCGCCGAAACCTCCTCCATGGCCACCACCATGATCTACGATGATATCTCCACCTAGAATAAATTATTGTTTTTAACATTTTATTTATTTTGATATCATAAATATGATACAAGAAAGAGAAAGAGAAAAAGAATGAAAGAAGAAAGAAAAAGGAATTTTTTATTTAAACAAGATAAAAATAGAATAAATTTCTATTCATGTTTAAAATAATTTACATTAATAATTATTAAGAGGAAATGATACTTTAATTTCATCTCTTTGCATTTTCTTAATGCATTTTATCACGATATAATGCACTTAGTCATTAATCACACATATTAATCGCTTAATAAATAATACATAGATATAGTATAATATTATTTTTCTTCCGGCGTTTCTTTTCTTGAATATCTCTATCTTTAGAAATTCATTTTATAAACAAAAAAATTAATACTTTGAATATTATTAAAAAATAGCAACATTCAAAATTAGAACGTATCTTTCACGCAATTTCTCCTTACCTCCGCCAATATCATCATGACCACCTCCAAAACCTCCTCCAAAACCTCCACCACCTCCATAACCTCCACCGTGATCTCCATGACCTCCTCCGAAACCACCTCCGAAACCACCGCCTCCTCCGTGACCTCCTCCAAAACCTCCTCCATGCCCACCTCCTATGTCTCCAGGACCGGAGACATCAATGTGATGATCATCACCTCCACCTCCACCTCCACCTCCGTGACCTCCTCCGCCATGATCTTCATATTTTATGATATGCTTTTCATGTTGCTGCACTACCTCCGGCAAGTGTATCCTTATATGCACACTGAAATATAAAAAGTGTGCTTAAAACGAGGAACAGCACGGTCCTAATTAACGTACATTTTAAGATGTCGGTAATTACAGATATGTGAAGAATCTTATTTCTCATCTTCTTTCACTAATTTCTACATGTATTAATTGCATCCTGAATAAATTAATTACACACAAACGTGTAATTAATTACGCATGAGCGTTTAAGTAGGCTGCTATAAAATGATATAAATTTATTTAATTGGTATTTTCTCTATTGTTATAAAATTTAATCTAACATTCTCTGAAAACATAATTCATCGATCATTATATTAAATTTTACTAATATTTTTATGATTGGGACTCACTGCTCATGTCCAAAGGTTGCGAAGCCTACTGATAGAATATTTGCAAGAATGATGACCTTTATCTGCAATTAAATAAGTCTTTTTAATAATTCATTATTTTTTTAAATTTCAGCTGTATTTATTTATTGTTTTCCATATTGTTTCCGAGAATTATTTATGAGTATCCTTGTATTACAAAAATCGGAAAGATTACATATTTAATATTGATTTACAATATTACTCATTCTTAAAACCTGAATAATTATTCTTATGTATTTTTAGATGACGAAAAAAAATATAAAGTTCTATTACATCCACAAATGTCAAAAAATTAAGGATTTTAGAAAAAAAAAACTGAAAAATTGAACAATTTATAACTTTTTTCTTATACTTTACAAAAGAAAATACAAAAAAAAATCATCATTTAGATATTGAGAAATAAAACCTTATTAACGGTATTTTTTACATTAAATGTTGTTATTTATTTTTAAACAGATTTTTTATTATTGAACAAAAAAAAAAGATTGAAAATGATTGTTAAAGCAACAATTCTCAGTTACAATAAAATTTTTTAATTAATCAAATTTTCTTTAATAACAAAAACATACATTATAAATATTAACGTGTTGAAAATTTGTATTATAATTAAGTATAAGTATTTTAAAGTATATACTTCAGATTGATTTCAGAAAATGATTTTTTTCTGTACCAAAAAAGATCTGCTCTTATACCAAATCTTGTTGTTTGTAATCAATTAATTTCGACGTACAACTTTAAAATTTCATGACTGTAACACAGAAAACTATTTCATTATATATTATTCTGTACTTATTAAGTTAGAGTTTTTAATTATTACAATAATTCCGTTTTTAACCGAAATTATAAAACTGTCATTCGCGCGACTGTAGAGAGATTTGGATGAGAAAAAAGCCACTGAACGAAGACACTTTCAAACCTCGATTGCACGCAAAGTCCTGTATTCTCAGTGAAACGACGGTTTTTATCCGTTTAAATATCTTACAGCGTATTTGATTTCCATTCTGGTATCCAGGACGCTACCGGATCTTGAACTTTTTCCTTCCTCCACAGCTCACCACGGCGACCCGGTATACACTGTCATATATTTGCAGCCGCGGTCTTACCTGTATATATACCAGACGAGAGGAAATACCGGAAGAACGGAGTGGGGATGAAATAAAGATCGGGTACCACCGCACCGGAGGTACTCTCGGAAGAACACTCAAAAAGAAACCGACCGCGCGATGACGTACAAAACTGGTGGGCATACGTCCTCGCTGTATACCCGAAGTACATGTACCAGATGATGCCTACTACATGTAGGCGCATAATGCGTTTCTGTGAACAACCGTGACCCAGCTTGGTCCTAGAGAAATTCACGTTTGAGCTTTCTCGATTTTACCGACATATGTATATCGATATTTATCATGATTTATTGCCACTAACTATTGTTTTCAGCAATTAGAGCATATGCAGTATAGTGTCTTACTAGTTTCTACAGCTGATACTTCACAACGTTGTATAAACCAAATTCTATAAACGAAAGAGAAATGAAAAAAGCGGAGAAAAGGTTTCCTTTCATTGTTCTGATCTTTTTATTATATTAGTCTGACGAGCAAAAATTATATTTATAGATTAACTGAATTGTAGATTAATCAAAAAAATATTGCTGGTGCTTTTTTTCTCGCACTATATTATTTAAGAATTCCATTGCAACTGGCAATTCGTGATAAGCGCATTGTAATGATTGATCTTTATGATTTATGAGTTTGGCGCGATATATGTGAGTAGACGTAGATAGAAAAAAATATTAATATCGATTCAGAACTATTACTCTCTTCTATTGGTTATACACTTTCCCCGATTTCCAGAATAAAATGAGCTAGATAAAATGAGGTAAAATAGAATATTACAGACAATCCGCATATCTCTTTATGATTCCTGCTCAAATATTTCAGTTATAAAAGAAATGCATGTTTAAATGCTGCATAAGAAAACGAAAAATCTAAACATATGTCTTTGTTCTTTATTATCGTGAATCCATTTTTATAGATAATAAATATAGATAATAAATTATTAATTAATTTATTTATTTGAGTAAGTTCAGGTACAGGCCAATGAATGATATAGAAACTATAATAAGTCACAATACGACGCAAAATCATCACTTACAAAATTTAAGTAAAATCTGTTAACAATTTTCCTTAGTAGATAATATTTTAATTCCCCTGCACAAAGTGTTGGCATCGGTGTGTTGAAGCCATACACAAATCATATATCTTTTTCGATGACATATATAAATCATGCGATATGATAATAAACATTAACTCTTCTCGGATAACGTATACATTATTCATAAAGTATTAATTGTATGGAAACTCATATATTCCCTTAAAAAGTATCTATAATAATGTAACACAGAATTATATACATTTACACACACAGATATGATTTAACTTACATACATGATTTAATTTATCAGCTTACGATCATTTATCGTTGGTTACGCATATCGCGTGAGAGAAATTAATTCTATCTATACTCTGATTAAGCAATTGTATTAATTATACAGATTTTAAACGATCGCGGATATCGATCACAAACCAGCACGAACGCGCATGTAACGTATAATTAATGTATTATAATATAATATGTATATAGATAACACAAACATATCGTACAGTTAAAAGTAATTTAGCTCTGATATAATTATTCTTCGAAGATTCTGCATAATATAACGTATTTATATTTTATCTTAATTTTAAACGCAATTTTTTTATATATATAATTTTTATATATATAAGTGTAGATTATTGTAAAGTTAGAGAGCTTATATATGAGTTTTAAATTAATTGCGTACCACTTCAAATTTTATCTCATTTAATCAAAGATATTTTTAGATTATTAACGATTACTGACTTCTAGAATAAGTCTTATCTTATCACCAATATTACCTTATATTGTATAAAATTAATAAAGTAAGTATAATTTGTTTAATTAACATTTGAATTAGTATATGGATATAGTTAAGTAAACATAATTATATAAATTGATATTACCTGATAAATGAATTAGTATTGAAAAAGCCACGATTTTGAGATGTCAAGTAAACTTCTATTCATGATGCAAATAAAAAAAGATGTTAAATTAGAGCTGTTTCTTTGCTAAAATAAAAAAGTTTCGAGATGTACAAGTTATATGTTAAAGGGCTAAATTAGCAATCCTCAAGATAACCGATACACTTGACTCTGCTTAACAGTTCTAATATGATACATAATTTATACATCTCGGAACATTTTCATTTTAGCCGAAAAACAGCCCTAACTTAACATCCTTTTTTATAATAAACACCTGTTAATTAAAAAAAATTTATAAAAAAGGAGAATAAATTAAAAAAAATAAATATTATCATTTTATTTTTTATGCTAGCTTTTTACTGATTAAATAATAATTATATAAAAGAATTTCATTGTTTTGCCTCAGAATGATTCTCTTTCTATTTTAATAATTAATCAGATCTAAAAAGTACACTGAAAAAAGATTCCCAGTGTCTATTGAATTTGTGTTATTAACATAAAATTAATGAGCTAGTAAGAACAATAGATGTAATAAATTTCAATCCAATTTGAACTTCAACTTTCTCAAATCTTCACATTTCATTGCTGGTGTACAGATTATTGCCAACTACAATATATGCGAGTATACATTTCGTTACATTCGCAACAATGAAATAACATATATATCTACTCAAACAACTCACTATTTAATTGTTGGGAGATTTTTACTAATGCAACCATGTGAAAGCATACAGTGGAAAATTACCTCGCACCTTACAGTAGCGTTAATTACGCAGAGAATTCTTTATACAAGACATTTTAGATATTCAAATGGTATTCATTGAATGGTATTCAATTTAGGTATTCATTGAACTACATTTGCTCTAAATATCTTTGTGCTAATTTTTAATTTTTTATTAATAAAATTGTTTAAAGCCATAAATCGTAAGCTAATAAAAGATTTTTTTTTAATCTAAAAGAGCTAATAAATTTTAATAAATAATATTACTTATTGCAAAAGCGCTATCTTCAACAGATTTAAGGATTTATTTAATTTAAAGATTTTTTTCGAATAATTGATTTTATAAATATCTATATTAAACCTATATTAAGAATGTTGTTAAAGATAACACTATTAAATTTATTTCTCTGAACGTATTTTTTTTAAATATATTTTTGAAGTATTATATCATCAGATTTTAAATATCCATTATACATAGACATATTATTATATCTCAGAAAACATAATTAAATATCTTTTTATATAAGAAACAACATTTAGACCGTTATAAAGGTCAAAAACTAAGTAACGATATTTTTTTCACATTTTTTTGTTGACTAAAAAGAGCTTACATCTTCAAAAAATTCACAGATAAAAAGTGATTTATTAGTTCGCAATACTTAATTAAAAATTTATGATTCTTCAGTCGCCACGTCTACATTGTCTACATTGTTTTCGTACAGTTAATGGATCTCGTACACACGTGTACATCTCGAGCGCATAGATACTGTCGGGTAAGAAAATAGAAAGTAACAGGAACACGCGGGAGGTAGAATAGGGTGCAGGGAAAGGAAGAGTGAGTGAAAATAAAAGGGTGAGAGCGACCGAGTGTAGTGAACGGGAAGAGACGTAACCGCATACCGCGTTACATTGAGAAAGACAGCTGCTTGTGGCGAATAACCGTGAGAGGCTCTCTCGGCTGTATTATGCCGCTCCTTATCCTTTCACTCTTTTCCCTTATCACATTCAAGCCTCTACGGCAAATTTCGCGACAAAATGATCGCTAGCCGCTAGCGGCGAGTTCTTTTTGCTACAAAGTGCCGGCCTTGATTCCGCACAAGCTGACATTGACACGGTATCTCCGTTATATCATCCATCAATGCTCGAGCATATGCATTTATTATGATTCAAGAAGAATACAATTCTACTCTTCAATCTTAATAGAGCTTCAATTTTGACGAAATAGACTTCCTTAGCAAAATAAAAATTAATAGTCTAAGCAAAACATGTTTCCTTACATCTAATCATTTAAGATTCAGGAATCGATATCGATGCTATTCGAGAAAATATACAGGAAGCTCTCTTTTAATTTCTAAACATTCTTTTCTTTTACGCTTTTTACGTAGATAAATAATAAAACTTTTCCGGTAGAAATGATTTTGTCGTATATGCTTTCACTTATATAGCTGTATTTTTATATGCATAGAAATACGTGAAATAACATTTTTATATAAGTACATTTAAAAATGTTATTTCATGTATTTATCATTCACGTATTTATCACGTATAATATCAATTAATAAGGAAGTATTTTTAGTTAACGATATACTAAAGATCTCTATATGTATTACAACGATATATGAAATGATTAGACCGTAAGAATATGATAGATTGTATCTCTTACGTTACGTCTTATTGCTAATCATGTAATGTCAGTCATGATATTTGTCGAGATATTATCCTTAAACAATAAACCGTAAAAATTATTTAATAACAAATAAACAATAAAGTGCTTTAGACAAGTAGTCTCTTTTATATATTCGCATTATGCTACAAAAATGTGAACACACACTTCTCTTTTACAGCCGAAGAACCGACGACCATCCCATATATTTAAACTCTCTACTATCATATAGCTGCGTGAATGTTACTCTCTTCAAATAAACCACATATTAACGCTAAAAATACTGATTGTGGTAATTATTAACCTTTCTATTAATATCAAGTATTGTATATTTTTTTGTGAAAAAGAGATAGAATTTTAAAATCTCTTTACTTTTCAATAATTATGTTCCTTATTCTTATTGATGAAATATTTAATTTTTCGTCACTTTTTTTCTTTATTTTTATAGTAAATAATTTAATCGCTTGATCTTTTTAGTGAGTAAGAAACATCGCGTCGGTACTTGTAGTGCCAACGAGGAAATTGCGCAAACCAGTTGTAGGAATTAGCAATTATTGTACATAGATGTTCGATGTTAATCGAAGCAAACATTTGAACGTAATGAATATCTTCCGTGAATGAATATCTTAATATTTCCGCGTCTTTATATTTCATGTCTTCGTCTTCATTTATCTTATACGTGATTTATCATTAATATGTTTGATATATTATTGCAAAAAATCTTTCAGCAAACATTGCGTCTCGATTAGATGATAGAAATTTTATCCGCTTTTCGAACTTCCTCTTACTTATATTAAATGATGCGCTACAATACAGCCTTCATCGATGCGATTCGTCCAACGACTATTACTTTCACACGCTTCCGCAAGAAACCGTAGTGAAGGTGCACCCGAACGACCTTACCTTACAATCAAGATCAAGATCAGCTTTTCGCAGTCGGAATTAAAACGATCTGCCGTACGAAATATTCAAATGCAAGAAAGCTTCGAGCGGCTGTTATTGTTACGTACTTCTAAAAATATTATTACAATGGGATCTGTTATACTTACAATTAAACAAAATTAAAAACATTTCAGCGAAATTAGAATAAAATTGTCGTTAATATAGGTAGTTAAATAAGTTCACTTTTGATCATTGATAAGATAATATTGTAACTCATTCATGATAAAAATTAGAAAATCATTTTTTAGTTGTGTTTGAAGTGAGAAAGTGATATGTTGATAAAATTTATTGATTAATACATAAGAAATTTGGCAATCAAATCATTATAATAACGTTGTGAAAAAGTTAAGGCTACGTCTTTGAACAGACAATTATCACTCGTATGACAAGCTATATAAAAACCCGAATTTAATTCACGAATTATTATTTTCCTGATGAGCCCTTCCCGATCCTTTCACTTTCCTTATTCTCTGCTGATCCTCTGCCTTTGATTCCATTCTTGCCGATTACAACCGTGAGCGGCATCTATAGACGGTGGGATCGCCAAGAACGGCTTTCTCGACTTTCAAACGTTCAACCGGTCATCGGTCTTCCAGTGAAAGTAACCGGAACGAGAAAGGATGCGATCTCCGCTGTGACCGTGATCTCCCAGCATTACTTTGCTCGAGTGATGGATAAGACGGCCGATTTTTACAGTCGCCTTCATGACCGCTCGACCGTGAAAACGGCGCGTGTTTCCGACCAGTCAGATTTAACGGTCGTCGTAGATATTTATTACCCGTAAATGTCTTCAATTGTTATTTAAAAAGAACATGGCAATTATGGATGTGGCCATAGATGTCTATGGATAACAGCTGTTGTTCATGGACATCATCGTATCCCGTTTTGCTGTACAATTAATGCTAGATAAATAATAAAATATATTAATTTTAAGATTAATAGGTATAAATCTGTTAATATTAAAATTAATATTACCATTTATATCTGTAGCAAGAATGAGTTACGAATTTCCATAATGGTAACTGTTATCCATAAGATTAATATAAGTGAATCTGTAGTGCATTTATGAAATTTGTTGAATATTTTTGAACAATTAAAATTGTTCACAATGTATTATATTATTAAGAAAACATAAAATTGCAGCTTTAAATAAATTATAGCCTTAATCAAACTAATAATACTTAAAATAATTTTTTTCTGTCGATTTTTGTTATTAAAAATATTCGTTTAATTTAGATTTAATTTTGCAGAACTAATTCTAATTGTAAGTTATTATTTAATAATTTTTTTTATGTATAATAATTATTGTATCTATATATAATTAATTACAAAATAATAAAACAACACTAAGCTAAACACTCTTTTACATAAATTAGTTTTACATAAATTAAGATAACGTGAAACGATATCATAGGTCGTGGAACATTAATCATTTAAATCTAATACAATTTATGTATGCGTCATGTATATTTATTTCTTTACACATTGAAAATATAATTAATGTATTATATTTTATATTTCAATAATCACCAAATATCCGCAATATACATTTTATAACGATAGGTCGGAATGATATTCCTCGTCTTTTATACATTAACGAAAAAAGTTAAACGTATGTATAATAAGTTGAAAATAATTCGGTTAACAAAAATAATTGAAATACCTAGCTGTAATTAATATGTAATTAATATGTAAATTACATATTAAAGAAATATATTTTGTCGAAACGTAATATTTTATCAATAAATTTATCGTTTTCCCGTAATTTTTATATTTACAGTTTTAGATTTGGCTTTATAATTTTATAATATGTAAATATTTATACGTAATGTGCTTTAATAATATCGTGAAAATAATAGTTTGTTCTATAAGCCTCCGAAATAGTCCTAGTGTTATTACATCTATATAATCTTAGAAATGACATCATCATATTATACATATAAGTCTTAAGTATTTGAAATTGTAACGATGCACAATGTCATCCTCTTCATGTATAATATATAAGATATCTTTTTCTCGTACAATCTTTTAGCTACATATTCTTTGTTACATTAAAAATTGAGGCTAACCTAGCAAATACAAAGTTACACGTAATGTATCTGTTAGTTGTAATTTTCCACTCAACAATATAACTGTAGTATGACATACACGTTATATTACAGGTATATTGTAGAGTGGAAAATTACAACTAACATGTTTGTGTTTGCTGGGAAGATAATTTATAATTTAAAACTATTACTTTTTCTCTGCATTAAAATATCTTAGCAATTATACATTTCAATTTTTTGAACAACAAAGAATTTTTTAGAAGGGCATTAAACTTAATTAAAAATCTCATAAAGTAAAAACTTTTTAGTTTTATCCATTTGTAACAGATAAGTTATTAACATTTTACTTTTTAAACATCACATTTAATATGTAAATTTTTTTATTTGTATTTCATCTGAGTCTGAAAGTTTGCGCAGTGACTCTATTACAATTTCTTTTCTTTTATTTGAAAATCATAAAATATTCGTAAAAAAGTTTGCAAAAATCATAACTTGAAAATATAAAATTATAAAAAGTTGTAACGTAATAATAACGTATAAAATTAATAATATGCAAATATTGAAAATTATCAGTATACAGACATGTTAACATTCCTTAAGTAATATTATAAATAATATAAATATAACCTATAGGATGAGCAGACTGCTCGACGAAATTTGTTCGAGACGTTTTACGAACACAAATTCAGACATTAATTATATTAAAAACAGAGAGAAAGTAAAATTTGCTAAAACATTAAGAAAATATTTTAATAATTTTGCACCACTCTCTCATGCTTATATCGTAATTTGATATGATCGCTTTATTTTATTACTTATTATTAACTTTCATTTTCTTAAAACCAATTATTAAAATTTTAAATAGACGATTTACTAACGGAGCAATATATTTGAATAATTAGTAGAACGTGATGCTGTATTTCCATTACTATTTTCACATTCATTAAAATCATTACTTTAACAACTATAGCTTAACAACTTATAGCCCCGAAATTGTTCCACATGTATTATTATATGTTATTTATTTATTGATCAAAAACATATTAGAACAATCTTTGAACATGTGAAACAGATAATTGAGATTCATTAAAAATTGAATTCTATTTACATTATCATTTTTAAGTTCTTGGACACTTTTATTATAAAATATGTATTTTACTTTTAAGAGTATCCAGAAATTTATGAATGATAACATGCACATGTAGCCTCAAATAAATAATGATAAATGAAAAACAATCTCTCTCTCTCTCTCTCTCTCTCTCTCTCTCTCTCTCCCTCTCCCCCTTTTCCTCCCTTCTCCCGTTCCCTCCCTTCTCTTCCCTCCCCCTCCTTCTTCCTCCCCCCCTCTCTCTCTCTCACTTACACTCTTTCAACCTTTTCTTTCAAAAATAGAAGTGTATTATAAATGTAAAATAAATCTATTGTACACATGACGTCATAAATGTCTTGACACACAAAGTTGTACATACGAGTATCCGAGAAAGAATAAGAAGAAGGCATAAGAAAGAATGAAAAGGCATAGAAAGGATAATTTGTGACTTCGTGTGTACAATAATATTTCTTATTATCCATTTATCGAATATTTATAATGACAGCTTCAAGATAGAAATTTCTGTTGACATAACTTAACTCATCATTAGTCAAGCTTGCAATACCGCGAAAAAAAAAGGACAAATTTTCCCATGAGAAAGTGGATGATAGTAGTATTCTGTAAGCTTATCAAAATATAAAAACCAAGAAAAAAATCCATAATAATTTTTAAGTTAGAAGTGTGATGTTAGAATCAAGTTTCTAACATCACACAACAAATTTATGTAAATTTATTATTATCTCGCACAAGATATTTGCGATGTATGAATACTCTCTGGAGTGGATATAATTTCATTGAATTCAGATTTCAACGCCTCAAGAGAGATACACAAAAAAACGAACCCCGCATATTTATACATTCGTGGCAATATGAACATACATTTTGCCGTGTCTACGAAAAGAGAGATTAAATTTGTCAAAATCACATGAATTCTTAAAACCCGACCAAGCGTGTAATCAGATGCATTAATGGCGTCCAATGCGCTCATATTCACGAAGAAACTTCACTATTAGATTCATTTTTTCTGGCCGATTTTTTTCGCTTTTTCTCCAAAATAAAATAGTAAAGCTGTATTATTAATTACGTAAATAAAAACATAAATATTTTTTACAGAAAAATTTAACGTAAAACGTACACGTCAGATGGCATTAATGCTCCTGTACGAAAAGAACCTGCAGTTTTGCTGAAGTATCTAAAAATTTAGTTAGATACAAATACTAAAAATAAATTTGTTGGACCATCAAAATCATTATGTATAATAGAATACTTAAACATTGTTAATGATAACGCTGAAAAAAGTTTCAACATTCTAATAATCAGTTTTAGCATCTTACATAATTATTTCGACGGTTCGAACAAAATAATTTCAGATTGCACTGGTTTAGTTAAATTTTTTGATATTTTAGCAAAAAGTCGTTCTTTTGGCATGTGCATTCCGATATTCTGTTTCTACCCATGAGCACCCGGGGCGATCCCCGCCGTCACTCCTTCGTGACTGAAGGACACGTGTTGGTACGGAGTGCCTTGTACGGTCATCGTTCTGAAGTCATAGCTCGTGGGGTCCCCATGGTCTTCGCGTACGGCATAGCTTTGTTTGGATTGAGCAAAACTGGGGAGCCAATTGACACCGCCAGATGAACCGCCAAAAGCAACACCTGGTAGACCGGTGGTCGGGAAACCAGCGTGCAGCTGCTGGGGCGCAGAAATTGTTCCGGTCGACGCGAAGTTGGCGCCGGTGGCCAACACATTCGGCCAGGACTTGGTGAGCTCTTCCAGTTTCCTCTGGTACTCGTCCATAGACACGGTGTCCTGCAGAACGATGCCATCCTTGTTACCAGCTATAGTTGCCGATGGTATACCCGCCGGTACTATCACAGCCCCTTGCACACCGGTGGCGGCGGGAATGTTAGCGGAATTGGCTGCGGAAGCAGCGTGAGCATACGCGGCTGGTGAGGTGTCTGAGGACAGACCCTCGGTGCCCTTCAAGGGATCCTTGCTCTGTTCTATAATACTGCTGAGGGCCTGTTGGTTTCTCAGACTGAGATCTTTCTCGATCGAGCGTGCGCCATAGTATTTGTTTATGCTATCTTTTACATTGCCGCGCAATTCGTTTCTGGCAGCGTTCTCCATGTCCGAGAAATAAGAGTCTAACTGCGGATTCTCGTAAGAATGCGCTGTCCCCGATACCGCATAATCCTGACCTACCGACGTGAAACTCGTCGGTGGATAGTCTGGTTGACGTCCGTAAGTACCGGCGTATCTAAATTGGAAAAGAAAGGAAGCTACTTGAATATGTTAGGAAAAACTAATGGAAATTAAGATAGCGTTTAATCAATATATTGAAGATTAACTGGTATCTCTCATACTAGTAGAAATTAATATACCGTTTGATCAATAAAGATTAACTGGTATCGCATACTAGTTGACTCTTTCAAATATATGTAGATGTACTATTGATATGTATCTAATCTTTATATAGGATATATCATTATAATTAAAGTAAAAGTTTTCGTCTATGTAAAAAATTCTTTTTATAATTGTCAGATTATTCGATCACAAAATCAAAAGCAATATTTATATTTTTATCAAAATTGCGCAACCAGATTCTAACGAAAAAAATAGCACAATTAGAATTAATTATACTATATGTAATATAATTAACGCTAATTATATTCTGTTAATTTTACTAATTATATTATAACTACAATTAGAATATTATAATTAGAGAGATAAAATCGTAATCGAAATGAAGATAACAAAAATAATTAAAATAAATTATGCTTAATGTAAGATTACCTTTCATGCACAAATGGTAAACTTTTGCCCTTGATGCTATCATACGGAATGTATCCTTTGCCAAAAGAGATGCTGTGGCTAATGTCTTTGCTGTGCGGTACATGCACGTGATTCACAACTTCAGGACCATGATCGAAATCATCACCCCCATGCGGTAACGGTCGGAATGGTTTCGTGTAACGGTTACCGCGACCATAATGTGCGTGACGATGAAAGTCGTTTCCACCGTAAGATAATTTCTTGTAATTGCCCGGAGGTCGCCATGGCACTGCTGGACTCCGTCTTACTTGTCGGGGCACGATTAAAACTACCTTTCTGAAGCAGCCAAAAAAAATAGATAGAAATATTTTTTTGATACTTTATATTATTATTTATTATATTAGTTTTTTTACCTTATTATTTTAAAAAGCATATTTAAAAATTCCTATAATTAATGTTATCGATAGGAATTATGAAGAATGATATGTTCATAAAATTGTTTTAAATTCATTTTTTTTTAATTATATGATATGTATATAAGCTATTATGAGTTTTGTAATGTAACTTTTGTTTTTTAAATATACATTTAAAATTTTGAAAGACTTTATACATAAAAACATTTGCTAAATCAACTTTCTATTGTATCATTTTATCAATCTAATTTAATTATAATTATCCTTAATTAAATATAGCATACGAATACTTACGCGTGAGTAAGAAGGGGCTCGCTAATCGCTAGTAGCAAAACGCAAAGAGCCTGTAAACATTAATTTCCGGTCAATATTCCTTTTAACTGTAACGTAAATTTTCATATGTATAGTAACGGGAGTGTAAACGATAAAATAAATCAACTGTCTATTAAGTTGACAAGTTTTCGCATGAAATTACGAAAATTTAGTCGCGTGTAGAATTTCATTTGTAAGAGTTACACATTCTGAGGCACGCAATTCTGATACGGTACGGTTGTCATTAGTGCTTAGTTTACCATAAGTAGCATAATTATCTAAACTCGCAGGCCGTTATCGGGTCTCCCCTCTTCCTTCGCTTAATCATACTTTCATTGATAAGTATAGTAAGACTTTCACACGATGAAAGTTAATCCTGTTATTTACCAAGTTTTTTTGAGTTGCATTCTAGAAATTAGTTTAAACAAAAATTCGAATAAGTTGTTACTTCTTGTAAACATACACATATACGAGTATATGTAATAATTAAAAATATTATATTAAAAATTATTATTCATTTTTTTTAATTTTAAAAAAACATGAAAATTATTTTATTTTTTTACGCGCTCCCTTTTTGAGAATTAATATTCAAAATGTATCATTCATTAATTCCGAATAATACAAAAAATATTTTTGTAAAACACATCCTAGATTCAATAAAGGATCATAATGTAAATTTATTTATTTATAATATTATATTTATAGTTATCAAAATTATTAAATTAGCGTAATAAATTTTTGCATCTCTAAAAATTAATTCGGTCAATATTCTTACTTTTTTGAAATAATACAGAGTGTCCTAAATTTTTTGCAATGCCTAATTAACGAAATAATAATTTCTAAAGATTGCCAAATAAGAGGGTAAAATCGATGTATAAGAAACTTGAAGATATCTTTCAGAGTTCTTTATATATGAATATCTTAAAGAATTCTTAAAGATAACTCAAAGTTATTTTATGCGTCAATTTTAGACATTCTATTCATTGAGTAATTAAAAAAAAATTGCGAAAATTGCAAAATATATATAGTAGAGAATTTTTCAAATCAGTTTAGTCCACCTCTAAGTCCACAAGCAATGTATCAAAAAGGCTCAAAAAGTTTTCGGACAATCTGTTTATAACACGTCATAAGTTTATTAACCGTATTTCTTGTAAATTAATTTATGACTTAATTACTTTAAAAAAACAACTAATTATTCAAACATAAATCATAAACAAAAATTAATAATTACATTAATAATAAATAAGGTAACCGAAAATACAAACAAATAAAAATAAAACAAATTATGATTTAAAATTTTAAAAGATTAAATTATCTTCCTCCTTACTCTTTCTTTCTTACAATTGTGAGAACACGTTTAAACAACATAAAATATACTTTCACTTTTAATTAACTACCAGATAAAATCATTCAAAAAATCATAGCTTTCCTGCTTTTTTTCAAATCATTATCTCTTTTAAATTTCTTCATAAAGACATGCAATCTAACTTTAAGAACTATTTTCATCAACATAATTACAAGATAGAAGTAAAAAAAATATTATTACTTTTCAATTAAAAAAAGGTGATATCCATAATTATAAGAAAGTGACCGTTCTTTTAAATCGAGAAATTCGAATGATCTGACTCACCATGCACCGCATACTGCCGGCCCTTAAATGACTCGCGCCTCTGGTCAAGCCTGATAATGCGATTCTTATCCGATCTGTTGTCGCGTTATCAGTGTCGTCGCGAGGCACGGGTGGTGAAAAGGTGACGGTTGCTCGTCACCTGCTGACCGATCAAAGGCCCAGGATCCGATCTGTGTCCGGTCGTGCTCGCCACCACGGATGATCCAGATGTATTGCGGCTATCTGCGCTATGCCTCTTCTCTTTTATACAAGATAAAAAGAGCATAGACGCGGTGCATAGTCGCGATCGCCTCCCACCGTGGAAATGTACCGGCGATCGGCGCGTCCGTACCATCATGCTGAATGGAAATAGAAAACGGGCGGGTACCGCGCGAGATGGACCCCCGCGGCCTTCGCTGCTAAACGTGGCCGGGTGAGTCGTCTAATTTTTGTTTAGGGAGAAATCGACACTTTCTTCATCGAGACGGACAACGTCAACAGTACGATGTGATGGGCGTATTCATCATGCGAGATGCTGCAGCAAAATTCCTCCCAGCTTTTTCACTCGAGATACAGTGATGGAACTAGAATCCGATCCGATAGATATATCTCGCGCTATCGGTTCTATATGTAATGAAAACAGAATAGCTAGATTGCACTACACCGTAGAGAAGGATTTTGTCAAATGAAAGTTAGACAGTGACTAATAGCAAAAATAACAATAAATAGAAAATTTAGTAGACAGCGACAAAAAATTGATATGGTTTATTACTTATCATAGCTATGTCACATGACAATCATGTTGGTTTTTACTTTTTCAATTTTTTTTTTTTATTTTTTAGAACTGAACTACATCGATTTCGATGAAACTTATAACAATTAGAGAGAATGAATTTCTTTAAATATGATAATATTCCTATTTAGAAACGAACGATTAACCATTTCCGAGATATTAAAAAGAAATCCAAAAATAACCAAAATTAGCCCCGATATAAAAAAAAAAACGGTACAAGAAACTAATTTCATAATGCCTTGAAATATAGGTATGTGAGAGAGAAATAACATTTACAATGACAGAATAGGAAAAATTGCTAGAAACAATAATAGCAATATTTATAATTCAAATAACGTATTGAGACATGTACAATATCCAGGAAAAACTACAAATAAATATTATTTTTCCTTATATTTTTATATGACCAGATATACACATATATATATTAATTTTTAAATGTATTTTACATGCATGTTATTTATTTTTATCTGTCACTTTGGGATTAATTTTAGAGCTTTTGTGGATTTTCCCCTTTAATATCTCGAAAATCTTAACTGTCTGGCCCTAAATAATTATGAGTATCATTATATTCAAAAGAACTCACTCTATAATAATTCTTCAAAGATTCATCAAAATTTTTGGAATTCGGTTCTGAGAGCCTTCTCCTCTTATTTTTTATTTTACTTCTATTTTGTTTCTTATTTTATTTAAATTATAACGCTCCTCCTCTAATATAAAATAAATAAGGTTTTTATAAAATATCTTTTTTATCATAAAATTGTGAGAGATTGCACGACATATATTTTTAATTGTTACACAGACATAAGAAAAAGCATCTATAATTAATCAAATATGATTTAAATATTTTCTATTAAGAAAGAATAGTGAAAAGGTTTTTATAAAAATAATTATAAAAATAAAAATAAATTAACAAAAATGAATAAATAAAGAATAATATAAACTATGAAAAATGAAAAAGGCAATATGTTAGTAAATTTGAATTAATAAGCTACAATAAAAGAGTTGTGTTTAAAATTAGAGTGGATTATATGTCAGAGAGTTAACAAACAATGAAATAATTAAACGTTGTCATAAATTTTATCTTAAACAAAAGTGGTGGTAAATGATTATTGTTAATTATTATTCTGCAGGTGACGCACAAGGATGTGTTAATACATCTATAAGCCGCACCCAACGTATACTTTCCAAAATACGAATAACAAATAACAAGAGAATGTAACTACTCCAGCAATGCGTCTCACGGAAAGTGTTCTACATTTACTATGTTGCACTTTCAATGCACGCGCGGTCAATTCTCAAGATGTTATATCTAATGTCAAGGAATATTATTTAACTTAATTTTATTTATATAAAAAGATACTTCTTATTTTAAAATAATGCGAATCTTTGCATCATAATTGTAATATTTGTAAAATATTATTTTTAATAAACTGTTTATACTTCTGCAATACTTCTATACATTTCTTAAAAATAGATTCAACACAAATATTATGCAAGTAGCATAAATGAATTGTAACAAAAGATAAAAATAAAATTTTTTGTACCTTAATAATGCACTTATTACACATATCTACTTCACGTATCATTTATCACATAAATAATTAAATCATTAGCTTAATTTGGTTAAACATTTTTCTTTTATTTTTTTTTATTATATCAATCGCTTTTACTCTTATCTTACTCTTATTAAATAAAAAAAATATTATTACTCGGTAACTAAATCGAAAGTTATCAATGCAATCGGACATATAATTTTCTTTAATTCTCAAGAAAATAAAATTCACGAATTGAATAGTTTAAGTATAACGTACTTTCAACAATGCCAATTTGCATTCCTACCGTGCCGGCTATGTTTCAATTTGATGTGATTAAAAATAAAAGTTTCACTGACAAGAATAACCGTGATTTCATATTGTTCTCGTTACGGTCCACATACATAAATCTTTTCTCGACGCGTCGGGACAATGGCGTCGTTAAAAGCATACGTTAATTAGCTCATTCACGCACATTCATGTACTTTCTTGCACTGAATTCAAGGTCGAGTTTCTAACCTCATACCTCTTTCAATGGGAATTGGATAGCATTCTATTTCCTAATCGGTACTATCTCCTTTCTTAGAGAATGACGTAAAAAAGATCAATCCTTTTAACAGTAAATAATAATTTCTTCCTAATATAAGTGTTATACAAATTTTGAAAATACATAGCAGCCAAACTTATTCGAATCATACTGAGTTTTCTTAAGTTAGGAAAGAAAGAAAGGAATGAAATGAAGGACGTGACAAAAAATTGTGAAAGTTTCCATTTGTTCCCAAAGGAAGAGATTCTCACTTGAAATATGATTTATAATTCAAATTATAGTAATCTTATAATAATTGAACAAAAATGCACGCTGCAAATTTTTGATTAATAACTACAACAAAAAATGAATTAAGTTGAAATGTAATTTTTCGTAATTGCAACTCTTTACACACAACAGTTTCACGAGTGCACTTTGGACATGTCTGAAGATGAATCTGAAGATTAATACTATACACAGGTTATCATTTTTGAGATGTTCTTAGTCACGCTTTCGACTAAACAATTTAATACTTGTCTATGGACATGTAGCATTATATATTTTCTATTTTTTAGAAAACATTACGTCTTTTAAATATACATGATAATGTTTGCGATTTAAATACATCACGTAATATAGAAAATGTATGTTATAGTTTTATTTTTAAGTTTTTTTATATTAATATTTTTTTTATTCAATTCATATTTTAGAATTTTTTTTAACAAATGTGCTGATGTTCTTATGATCTGATAATTCTTAAATTATAATCTTGTGTGTTTTACATAATAGAAACTTACGGAAATCACAATTAAATGACAAAATACTTAAGTATAAAATTATGTTTGATGCAATTAATATAATCAGAAGTATTAAATCAATTGTCATAATTCACGTAAACAGCAGTGGAAATTAGCAATAAAATCTGATGTATTGGAAATTTCCCTGCGGAATAAGAAAATCACGATCTTTCCTTCCGCATTTTCGCGGAGTGCTGATGTTTTAAAACAAAAAAATTGCGATGAACGACGTATAAATTGGTCTATCGAGATCAAATAAAATACGTTCTTACATTGAAGGAGAGGAAAAGAGTTTATGACAGCTTATATTTCAGCGTAAACTTTATGTTCTGTTTTTAACATGATGTACTTCACGTAGTGATCACCTCGCATTGCGAATCCATTAAAACATCATGTATTATTAACTCTATAAAGCGAAATTGCGTTTGTGTAGAAAGTAAAGAGACTTATCCAATATTTTTGCAATATGTGTTATAATAATAAGTAAAGAATTCAGAACTGACATAAGGTAGTAAAAGTAAGTTCCAAAATTAAATATAATGATTATTTTATATAGATGTAATTAGTGACAAATTAATAACATTAATATTTTATAATATTGTATTTTCAAATTAAAAGTAGCTTCCCGAGTAGAAAAAAATTATGATGGCTCCAGAATAATTATTAAAAATCACTTTTCATCAATCATGATTTAATTTAACGTCATTGCGACGTTATCGTAATTTGTTGTTCTGGATATCACACGCTTCTATTATCTTAACATATACAAATGTTTTACCATAAATTTTATTTAACAATACAATAAAATATATTAAGAATTTTATGGTTCAATTTTTATATTTATATTAAGCATACATTTTTATGTTACTTCGTGTACGACGCCATTAATGTGTATCCTTTCGATTAACTTCAAAAACAATCTGTATGTATTTGTTACGCAGTATGAATTTGTTATCGCATCGCTTGATAGTAATTACGATCTTATATAAAAATCATGCATACAGACAAATTGCTATTAATTGAAAAAAATATATCTAAAAATATATATTTCTAATTAAATAACGTAACTAGAAAGGCTTAAAAATTTTAAAAAGTTTTAAAAAAGACAAAAGAGGCTACGAGTCAAGTCAAAATCGATTTCACCGTGCTAGTTTCATTATTAATCATTCGTTAGCTTTTTAACCGATACTTTATTTCCTTGTAGTCTTTTTTATCTCAATTATGGTCAAAGTTAACTAATTACATTGTCCAGTGCACACGACTGGCGTGATTGTTATGAAACCAGTCTAGCTTCGAAACGTGCTATTTGATATTCATCTGAATGTCCGATCCGTGGCATTTTCCTAGGACGACACTGCGATGTCGACGTTCTGAAACGTAACACCTTGTACATTCACTCCGATCCCGGTCGGATTGGATTCCTCTAGTAGAGAGTTCACTGTCACGGTCTCGCGAGCTGTAAGGAAAAGGATAATCCGTATCGCGTTATTCGTTTTTGTTTTCTCGCGCCGGCAACCGGCTCGGCGCGACGTTTCCCGACGTACACGTATAATTTGCTCTTGCCGCGTGTTTTACGCGAGACACACCGAGATCGGTTTCCCTTTCTCTTGTGAGCGCATTTTGCGAAGGTGAACGCTCAGCGAGTGAACGGTCCCCGGTCATCGCCACGTAGTTTATGCACCTCCGCATTATCAGCTCCGCTCGGCGCGCTTCTTCAGGAAGGGGAAATGATTCCCTCTCGCTTCCGTAATTTACTATCGATCGACAGCGCACGTATTCAATGCTGCTTCCAAACGTATATACCATATACAGTACGCTTATTTCTTTTAAATTGTTAAAATGTTACGATATCTTTTTTTTTTTAATTTACACGAATTATGTATATTTATTCTAGTTTATCACAATTGAATTTTTAACTCGCAGATAATTGCGATTCCGGAAAAATTGTATATTTGAAAAGACAAGATTTATTTTTAAATTCTTTTTAAAATGTCTCTTCAGAAATTCTTTCAGAGTTTATGTGAATTTTAAAAAAGTTTTGTGTTACTTTCTCTTCATTTATACATTTTAAAATTTATCTTCTTTGTTTTGCTAAAAAAATACGTATATATTATTATGAAACAATATGGCACAACACTTCTTGTAATATATTATTATAGTTATAGTTTCTATTCGTTATAGAAAGTCAGTGACATTTTTTTAAGCAATTTAATAATAATAAGAACTAGTGAGAACAGATAGTATAAAAAAGTAAATTAAGAAGTCGCGCACCAGAGAAAGTATGGGAGTGAACAAGTCGCTAGTAAATCATCTATAGCATTTAAAAGAGAAGTCAGTAAAAGTAAAACTCACAGTGAGTAACTTTGCAATTTCAAATCCAATTTTACCCTTTAATAATTAATTAAATTTGTAATTAACTCGTACTTTAATATAACACATAAATATCATCGTATTTGTAACTTTTAAATTCACACAGTTATAAATGCTACTATAATCACAGTCACGTTAATTATAAATCTTTTAATTGAAATTGAAGATTTAATTGATTTTTTTTAATTGAAGATTTTCTATTATTTATTTGACACATAATTGAAATTTAAGAATTTAATTTAAGAATTCTACAATATAATACTGCAATATAAAAAAGTAAAAAATAAATATCAATCGGAAAAAAAACAGAATTTCCATATCAAGCATGTTTTGAAATAGCGCTATTATAACTTTCACATATAAATTTATATTTAAACTTGCAATTTGTGAATCTAACATAGAGCTATTCTGTTAATTAATTCTCTCTCACAATTAAAATAAAATTTTACAAAGATATTAATTTGTATATACCTCCTTGTATAGTATTATACAAATCTTGCGGTAGTATTTGTATTTGTTTTAAAATTGCTTTAAATTATCTAAACATACAATTAAGGAACATATACACACAATTCAAGATGTTCTAAGAGATAAAATAATATATTTCGAATTAATACGTTAAATCATAAAATTTGTACAATTAGTTTAACATATTAAGTTATTTTAACGTATTAATTTGAAATATATTATTTTATCTCTTAGAACATCTTGAATTGTAGCTACATGTTCCTTAATTGTATGTTTATATTATTAAGCTACCTTCAAAAAGTTTAAATTTAAATTATCTTTTGTAATATGCGTACATTGACTCTATTATCATAAAAATTTACGGATACAGCATAATGCATTTATGATAATTATAACTGGTCTGATTAATATTTATGATAGCCATAAATGCTCCGATAAATATTGATAACAATTACAGATATTAAACAATTAGATACAAATATTTTTAACAAAACCTTGTAGTTAAAAAATTCCAAAGCGCGATGTTATACAATAATACTACAAGATACAATTGTATAATTTTAACATATTACTATTAAAAATATACTGTAATATCTAACAGTTTTAGCATAGAATTATAAATGTTTCTATATCAGAGATTAGTAGTTTGCTGATAGATGGCAGCAATTACTGAACTTTCAAATAGAATGCGGCAGGAATATAGATAGAGTTACTATCTTATCCATCTACAGTCTACTCGAATTTTTCCATAAACGTTAATTATATTCAAATAAATAAATTTATTATCTTCGTTGCTTTTGAGAAATGTAATTAGGAAATATAGAAAGATACTATTTATAAACTCGGATATAAAAGATATTTTGTAAATTTTTATAAAATACATATTGTAATAATATTACAATATGTATTTTATAAAAATTTTCCTTTACAATATAAAATTATCATTTTGCAAATATATATATATATACATATATATTTGCAAAATAATAATTTTATATCGTAAGAGAAAATTTCTATCTTGTAATTTTGAATACGTTCAATAATCTGATTTTTCAAATATTTCGAATAGGAAATATTACACATCGCTCCCTAAAAGTAACACAATCCAAAATATGATCTTTAAATTATTGTCATGAATGAGTAAAGTAAATATTATTCAAAAAAGACTGTTTTTAAGAATTGTGAAACAAAAATGATAAAAATGACATTTGATTACTTTAAGAATATATTCTTTTTGCCACTAAATTTCTTATTTTAAAATTTATTATTTAATCAGTTAATAATTTTCTGTTGAAAAAAATACTTTTTCCTTTTTTCTAGAAAATTTAATCTGTTTAGTCGTGTCACTTTTAAAGAGGTGACATGTTATATTTTAGAATATATAATGAAATATATATAATACGCGATTATATAAATATTTGCAATATTATAACAAATTCGTACGCTAGAATGAAGATGACCTCAATTCGGACATCTTTACGTATGGAAATACGAATAATAGAATAATGATAAGTAATAACTATTGTTTGATTCAAAATAATACGAAAGGATAAAAAAGAGAAAAATTTCTTCTAAATCAGGAAGGATACCTTCAAGCCTTTATCAAGGATAAAAGGATACACCGCACGATTACTCTTCCTCTCGCGTGAGGACGCGTTAGATTAGCGAAACGAACGAAGACGCGTCTGTCCGCCCGCGTACGCGAGGCACAATCGCGATCTTGATCTTGGACATTCACTTAACGTCTGCCTTTCGTTGGGAGAAGGAACAGCCCACCGTTATAGATATCGAAAACGAGGAACAGGAACATACAAAGGCAGTGAGCGTAGCGAGGGAGGAAGGCAAAGCCACCGGCCACTTGTCCCTCTCTGTTACACCGCGATCGGGTGACTTTTTGCCATGAAAAGGCTATTAGCGACTCCTTTCACGAGTGCGGTGCATACGGGTAGCAAAATACTCCCTTTCATTCTTATCCGACTTCTATCACGTGCGTGTATATATAAGCGAAACGCGTACTCGCGATGGTTGTCAGATCGAGACCGCGGAGGAGTAACTCGCGTTGTTGTGTTTCCTCGTTGATTATTCATAGCTTTTTCATAGCTTTCGCTTCACTTTTGTCGCTTTATTGTGACGGAAGCGATATTTTTCTCGATAGTCCTATCCGAAAACGGAACGATGATAGGACAACGAGAAATAATAGCAGACTTCTTGGTAAGTCTCGAGAGACGAATTGCGTTTATCGCATTTTCAACCGCGACGGAAGTGAAACAGTCAGTGATAATTCAAATTTTTGGAGTTATCGGTAGGATCATTATTTCTCCGTTTAATCAAAGAGAGTAATGTAAAAAGTATTAGCTTTGTGATTTGTGATTTGCAATTAAAAACATTATAAATGATATTCGGCTTTTAGATATTTTTAATATCAAAAGGTAACATTTTCAGAAATAATTTTCATATTTATTATTATATTTTTATGCACAATTTTGGCTCGTTGCGATTTTTTAATTATTGCTCGATATATCTTCCGTGGAAAGTTACTCGTTATTCGAAGTTGCAGAGTCAAATTATTGTATTATTTAATATTATACATAGAGGCACTTTTCTGACATTATTTTCTTATTTCAAAAGTAACACGACTAAAAAAAAGTGAAGTTTAATTCCTTTATTTAGAAAAGATCATTTTCGTTTTACAACACAATCATTCTTTGAGGACAAGAGCTTCCTAAGAATGAAACTTAAAGAAGACGTCATTTATGCCTAATTTGATTCTGGCCTCAAAATACAGTTTTCAGAAAAATAACTTTACCATAAAACTCGGTTTTAAAAGGTTCTTGATATCATCAAATTTGAATGTCTGAAAATGTCGAATTTCAAAAGGATAGCATTTATGGTACTTGAAAAATTACGTTTTTTCTGTAGTCACGTTTGAAATAAGGAAGCGACATATTACTGCTGATTTTTTGCAAACAGTCTAGTTTCTACTTTTTGATAGTAAACTCTAAATTGAGATAGAATTGATTCTGTATGTGTAGTTTTATTAACCATCTTTGTTAAACGACATTATTTTCAGTTAATTCTTCTCTCCGTCGCCGCACTATTTAACTTAGCCAACGCCGGCGGACACGGACACGACCAGTAAGTTTAAATCAAGCTCGCTATATTGAAAAAAAAATAGAACATTTAGATATAACTTGATATCGCAACGAAAAAGCTAATCGCGCAGTTTCCATCTTTAAAAGCCAGTCGGAAGCTTTAATATTTTACCCGCGTCCTTTTTGCAGTAGTCACGTGGTAATCCACGTGCCGTACCAGATCAAGAAGATCCAACACACGCACACGATCACGAAACACATACACCACGGCGGCGGCGGCGGTGGCGACAGTTATGAAGTACTCGGATATACCTATGGTCATCCCATTTCTCTTGGAGGTCACGACGGCGGCGGCGACGGTGGTCATGATTTCGGAGGTGGCGGCGGTGGTCATGATTTCGGAGGTGGTGGCGGTGGAGGCCACCTAGAGCTAAGCCATGGTGGTGGTTTCGGAGGAGGCGGAGGTGGATTTGGCGGCGGCGACTGGGGAGGGCATTAGAAATATCCTCGAGTGAATTATCGATAACTTTCGAGAAATGTTAAAATTAGCTTTAAAGTAGTCGACATGATAACCCTTCGAAACATATGGAATGTTTTTCATCCCTGTTTTCCTGGCTGATAACGCTAGTTTTGGTATATTATTTCTATCATAAGACAATGTCGCTCATTTGATATAACAATGACATTATTCGAAAATTGTTTTTTCATTGCTTACGAAAAACGGGAATGTAAAGATAGAGAAAACTATACTTTCATTTCTCTAGAATCAGTTAGTATTACACCAAAATTATGATGAATTTTAAAATTAATATTATAAAATTTTCACGATTTAAAACATTCGAATTAAGTTTCTGAAAAATTATTTTTTCAATTATATTATTATTGCAAATGAGCGATATAATATCCAAAAACTGAAGTTGTTGCAATTGGGTTAGAATCAATAAGCGGAAAAAATTTTTTAGGAAAATATTATCACGTGTATTAATGATCTATAGAAGGTATATAAAGTAACAACAATGCACTTTTATCTGAACTGTCATCAGACAGATAACTAGTATTTGTGAAAGAATATATGTACATGCTTTAAATGTTCGCACGCACGAGACTTCTGTGTGCATCAATACAATGACTGACTCGATTTCACATTTTTTAACAATGCAAGCGTCCTATAATAATGTGAAATCGAATGATCCATTGTTCTGATGCATTTCAACAATAGGATCATTTTATGGAACACCGACTGATTTTTTATCATTTTTGACTTTCGAAAAGCTACGGACATTTTTTTTATCTCTAGTCTGAGTTACTTTCATTAAATATATATATATATATATAATAAATTTTGTTACTTGTTATTTTATTCTTATTATTTTTTATATACATTTTTTTATGTTAATAAACATATTGAATAAATGTTGTATATTTTTACGGTACGTATTTTAAATACGATCGTAATTTCCTGTATCCTTCTTATTATATAAATATTATTAAAATAATTACTTTTAATTTTTTTCGAAATATATTAATTTTTTCGGTAAGAACTAAAGTAAAAGAAAGTATTTACAAGTTTATTAAATTTAAAAAAGTAAAGAGTACCAACTTTACACGAAGAAACTTATTTATTTAAAACAATATTTTTTTCAATACATGACAAAATTTATAAATAGTACAGCTAAAGACATGAAAAAATAAAAAATATGTTAAGTGTGATCTGTTACGACCTCATTTTTTTTGAAAAAAAAAAAATAATGATATTACAAAGTAGCGTAAAGTTGCACTATAGATAAAATAAAATTTTTGGAAACAATTTTAAAGAAAGTGATAATACAAATTTATATAAACTTTATTTATCATATCTTTAATTGTACATTTGGCACTAAATCTGTGGAGAGTACATTTATTCAAAAGGCTTTTCCCCACTAAAAACTAATTGTGCCGATCGGTATACTAGCTTCTTCTTCTTTTATAAAAAAAAAAGTCAGTATGCCATATTATATAAGAAAAAATTAATTGCTAATGTATTTTCAACTTAAATTTGTAAGTTAAGAGGCTGTTACTATTGTATATTCGCTACGCTACAAATACTCGAGTATAAATGTTGTAATAAACTGTAAAGGAAATGCTGTTATTAAATATTTAATATTGAAATATCTCGGAAACAGTAGACCGTCTACGTCCAAATGAAGGGGTGATTTAGGGGTTATTCAGGGAAACACACTTTATAATGCTACCAAGTTTCATTGAAATGGATAAGGACCACTTCGGAATCTTCTCTTCTAAATAAAATAATTTTAATAGTAGAATATACAAACATTTACGATAATTGTATATAATTGCGGTTTCGTACTACAATTTTTTCGATATATTAATGTCTGAAGAGGGCTCAATCCGGTAGCCGAAACTTGTAATTTATTTGTATTTAAACTGAGTTTTTATTTATTTTTTATTTTTTATTATATATTTTCTTTAATTTTACTTTTCTTTATTTGTAATTTATTCTTTTGATTGTATGACTTTTTTAAAGAAATGTGTTGACTCTTACTTTGCCCTTTATTTATTGTTATTTAATTTTAATAATAGATTAAAAATTTAAATATATTTTAAAATTAATGTGTAATTGTGAACGCTAAATGTGAAACGCACTCTATTTCTATTTGTTTTTTTACTTGTTTTTTTTTACAGTCAATTATGGTTATGTCAGGTTACGTTCATTTAATGCTCGCAACGTTCTTGAAATCATTTCATCTTTGTTGTTTATCAAATATTAAATAAAGACAAATAATACTTACGAGTGTTGTGAGCGCCAAGTGAAACACACTCTATTTCTATTCGGTCTTTAAATGCTTCTAAGTATAACGGGTTGCATATTACCAGGCACTACTACATTTAAATTTATCACAAAGCAAAAAATAATTTGAGTAAAAGTAATTGTAGCTAAATAAATTTTGTACCTAAAGGTACATTTTTTTTTAATATAAATGTTATATTTTAATTGTTATAAAGCCTTAAAGTCAAAATATAATATTACTTTTATCCTCGGTCTCTCTTATATTATCTATAATGTACAATTAGAAAATTTATATAATTCGAAAATTAAAGTGCTAAGTCACATTCAAAATTAATAAGTATGTTTAAAGATGATAGAAAAGAAAAATTTCCACAATGTCCATTAAGCGTTCTTTAATCTCATCCACGATTACCATCCGGAAATCTTTCTTACATAAAAAGCAAGAAGGTAGAATGTGGAAACGCCGAAGACGATAGCAAGACTGATCATTGCTGTAATACATATAATAGTATATCATAAATTTAATATATAGATGCTGCAAATGAATGATTCTTTCGCAAACGAGGATTTTATTGCCGCGTCAATAGCTATTATTAGTTTCTTGAGACGTTTCAGACAAAATGCATGTTGCATATATCTTCTCGATAATTATTCTATAATCATCTATTGACGGTGTTGCAGTGTTATTATAATACACAAATTATTATCTATTTATTTAATAAACATCTCATGAATATATA